TAATTGAAGTAGGAGGAAAAGGAGATGGGATTAGGTATGAGGAGGAAGGAGAGGAGAAATAGCAGGAAGCCCACAGATACACTGCTCCCTGTATCTGCAGAAGTTCGCAGCCTGAGAATATCATCCCCTCTCATTTCCCTTAGGTGACTGGGGAGGGGGAGTTTGCCTCAAATATCCGGGGTGGGGGGGATGGTGTGGGTCTCTCGGTATTTGATTTTTATGACATGATACCTGGATTTTGCAATACTCCAAAAGCTGATCTGCAAATGCCCCTCAGGGGATATTGGGGGGATTCCAGAGATGATATTTCTTTGGGGATGCCTGGTAGCTGCTGCCAGCTGAGCCCCCATGACTGGCAAGGGATGTGGAATCCCTGGAGCCACGTGGCGATCACCCAGTACCAGGACGGGGGGGCCGGGAACACCATTTCTGGGGACAGCCAGGGCTGGGGGAAGGCCAGAACCACTGGAGAGGGGAAAACAGAGAGAGGCAACACTGGAACTGAGAGACCCCTGACAGCCCAGAGAGGGGAAAATGTCAGTGAGGGGTAATCTGGGAGAAGGAGAGATCCTGGAGAAGGCTGAAACCAGGGATTCCAGGACCCACAGAAATCTTGAGAGTGGGGGATTCTGGGACAGGGGGATCCCCAGGACCTCCAGCAGTCTTGAAAGTGGGGAACCATGGAGATGGGGATCCTTGATATACATGAGACCTCCAGCAGGCTGGACAGAGGGAAACCAAAGAGAAGAGTCCAGAAAGAGGCACCCAGGCAGATGGGGAGGAAGTCACGGCCCCTTTCCCCCTCTCCTACTCCATCTCCCAGCCCGGCATTGCCCCCAGCTACAGGACAACCCTGCTGGCAACACCATCCTGCTGGGGATGGATTTGGGGAATCTCCTTCCCCTTCCCTCTGAAATGGAGGCAAATCCCATCCTCTCCTTGTCCTCCCTCCCTCCCTGACAGAGACTAGGGAGGACAAATCCCTGCATCAGAACCTTGTGGAAGAGACCATTTTGAGTGACTCCACATCATGGGAATCCAATGGGGAGGAAAAGCTCCAGAGATATCCCACGAGGAAGGTTCCAAACACAGCCCAGGGAACTCCAAGGAGGAAATACCCACCCTTTGTCAGGAAAGTGGCCAAAGCTTCATCTGGAGCTCTGATCGGTCATCCTTGAGTGGTTTCACCACTGGGGAGGTGCTTGGAGTGTGAGAAGAGCTTCAGATGGAGCTGCTACCTGATCCTGCACCAGATGATCCATAGAGGCAATGGCCCTAGAAGTGTTTAGAATGTGGGAAGAGCTCCAGCCAGAGCTCCTGTCTGATTCACCATCAGATAAAATTCACGCAGGGGAATGGCCCTACAGGTATAGGAAATGTTGGAAGAGCTTCAGTGACTGCTCCAACCTCACCAGCACCTGCACTCCAGGGAATGGCCCCTCAGGTCTGAAGAGCGTGATAAGAACTTCAGCCAGAGCTCCCACCTGACTTGCCACCAGAATATCAACACTAGGCAACAGCCCTGGGAGTGTTCTGACTGTGGGAAAAGCTTTTCTCAGAGCCCTGCCTTGACCTTTGGTGAATGGATTCACCAGAAAGGGAACCCCTGTGAATGCCCCAAGTGTGGGAAGAGCTTCATCTGCTGTTCCAACTCTATCCCCCGTTGTAGGACCAGTGTTGGATGATCCACAGTGAGGCCATTAGGCAGAGACCTAGTGACCCATGTTCCTGGTGATATTGGGCAGTGTATTGGGTTTGTATGGTCAGGTTTTGGAAACGGGGGTGCTCCAGAGGTGGCTTCTGTGGGCAGCCTCCTGAACCCTCTCCCATGTCTGGCTCCTGTTCTGATCCACTCCTGAAGACAAGGGTAACCCAGGTTCTGGTTAATGGATCCCCTGGGACAGATTACAGCAAAACAACAGTGATTGATAAACAGTGTTTATAAATATATCTCTGATAGGTTTATTTTAGTATTTTAGAACAATTTGTTTGCTGTGTAAAGCAGCTTTGGAACCCTTTTGGCTATCATCTCTAGCAATATAGAAGCATTAAAATAACACTTATTAAAACTTACAAGGGAAAAGAAAGAAAGTGTAACAGTAGAAAGATACACAGTCACCAGCACTGAATCCAGCAACAAAATTAGATTGTTGCAATGCCTTGTGCTTGGTAGAAGTGATGGTCCCAGGCTGGATCCCTTGGGGGTTGGGGAGGCCCCAGAAACAACAAGTTCCTTGGGTTAATACAGATTCAGGTACCTCCCCTGGGAGGNGGGGGGGTGGAGGGGTGTGGAGTTCTACACTGATGTCACACTGTGAACCCCAGGGCACTTTTGGGGTCTCTAATGGTTCGTGGCCCCCTCTAAGACATGGCCCTGCCTCTCTTGGAAGCACAGATGAGCCAGGTATGGCCCATGCAAAGGGATGAAAACTCCAGCCCTCTGTGTGAGTGTCCTGCATCTTTCCCAGGGGACTTTCCAGAGCTGAGCCAGTTGTAAGAGAGGGCATTGCCCTGGTCCAAACCCTATCCACCAAGCAGCATCTACTTCTGACCAGCCTCCCAGCTGATCTCCCCTGGCTCCCAGCCCGGATTGTCCCCTCCAGGGCTTGGTGTTCACCCCCTCTGCCCCTGGGTGCTTCCTGTGGCCAGCAAAAACCATGCTGCTTTTGCCAGTGGTCAGTGGTTTGAGCCATTAACCTCAACTATTTCAGTCCCTCAGAGCTCTGCACGCCAAAAGCTGAGAGGGATCGATGGTGCACAAAACAACTCCATCACACTGAAAATGGCTTGATTTGACCTCAAAACAACTCAATCCCTCCTCAAAATTATGGGGTATCCCCTGTGCTCAAATTTCTCCCAATTGTGTACGTTCCTGTCCATGAACTTCACCCAGTTGTTGTCATCTAGGAAGTGACAGTGGACTTTTCTCTGAAAATGGAACACATTTGTGTGGGAAAGGAGACAGGTGAGGCGGTACCTCTCTTCACCCCACAAGAGCTCCCAGCACACCACAGCAGGTTGGGGGCTCAAGGGACCACCCTGGATCCCCCATTCCCACCCCCCCTCTGCCCCACACCCACCAGAGCACTGGCTGCTGGGTGGGGGGCACCCCAACTGTGAGCCCCCTGGGGAGGTACAGGGGGGTTTGGGGACTCCCCAGCAAGGTTCTGCATACCTCCTGTCACTGTTGGACACAAAATAAGTTGCACAGATGCAACTCAAGGTGCCATGAAGGAAAGAGAAACTTTGTTTCTTCTCGCAGAATTTATAGGTTTCTGACCATGGCCAGGGATTGGTAGCCAGGATAACACTTTCCCAACAGCACTGGCAGTGAGAGATGTCCATCAAAAGACGCATATCAGAAAGAATGTACACATATCTATGTTTACAGTTACTGTCCTGGGAAAGTCTTTAGAAACTGTCAACAAGCTCAAAAAGCTGAGTTTTCAGGGCGACAACCTCCCTTCCACCCCCCACCCTGAGAGCCCCAAGTTACAGCTCAAGAGATCAAGTGATGAGGAAACAAAGGGACTCCCAGGAGAACCCCTTTGCCACTGTCCTCCTTCCCCTTACTCCCCTCTCAAACACTTTTCCCCTCTTCCCTGTGCCACTCCCCCCTCTCACACAAAAGAGCTCCTCACCCAAAGCCAGGAGGGCTCCCAACACCACAGTGGGGTGACATGCAGGCAGCTCTGACTCACAGGCTCCCCCTTCCCCGGGACTGGTTCTGCCCCCTCCCATCACAGCACCCCCACAGGGTACCCAGATCCCTCACTACAGGCCCCCAATAGATGGGACCGGGGAGTGTTGAATCCAAAATAAAAGCCTCTCTGAGCTCCTCAGAGAGAGAAAAAAATTAAAATATATTAAACTATAGATACAGAGTAAAAGTGTATGTTTTAGCTGTAAGTAAAATATAGCTTAAGTGCCCTAAGAGTCTGTGTTATCTAGTGAAAAGCCTTATTTACCCAGATTAAAGTTCAGTGATAATACCCTTCACAGATTCAGCTTAGCTCTAGACATAATGAAAATATAGTTTACATTCTTAGATAAGAAGAGATAGGATCATTTACGTAAACAGATAATACCCTATACATAAAATTTAGGTAAAAAGAACATTGCTTTCTCATGTTAGAATTAAGTTCAGATTGGTGTAGAAAGTATTGTTTTAGAAGCATGTTTTTAGCTGATTGGATGATATATGAATTTAATTCCCTGTACTGGGGACTGGAAAAAAACATCCAAAGAAGAACAGCAGCACCATGATCATCACCAACTGCTTTTGTGGCCCAGGACAACAAAACTCCACACCGAGAAGCTGTTACCCCTGTCCTGGTTCAGGGCAAATTTGGGAGAAACCCTCCAGTGGGGCTCCCCCCGGGAAGCAAACCCACGTGGCCCTTTCTCCCACCCCTCAACTGGTTCAGGAAGAGATTTCTCTGAGAGAAGTGGAAAAAACCTGTTTATTTCACAGGCACAGCACTACCCAGCACAAAAATGAACGATATCAAATTACAAAACCTCTCGCCCTCCAGAAGAGATGACAAACTTCAGAGGGTCTCTTTCCTGGGGTTGTTGGCTCTGTTATCAGTCCCTCTGGCGCTGGAAAATGCCGCTGTCTTGTTGTCTGTCTGTGCTGTAGTCAAAACTCCCGATGCGGGGGGAGCAAGTACAGTCTGATAACAGACTTGGTGCTTCTTTTCCACTCACTTTTACTCTTAGATGAAATTTTAAGAATACAAAATCTCTGTCTGGGTTAAGTGGACGAATGGGGATACAATTTAACATCATAATCAACCCAGGACAACTCCAAATATCAGGACCTTATACCAGAGAGCTGCTGCTCAGAACTCAGGACTTTATGCCAAAAGCTTTTAGCAAAGACTTTGACTCTCTGAACTCTTTGCCTTTGAGACTGATGCTTTTATACAATAACCTATCTAGCAACCATCAACAGCTCGTGTCTCTTTGAGACCTAGAAATATTTCTGGAATCCCCACTGAAGCTGCGACAACAGGGAACTGGGAAGCTTTATTGGGAACACTGGGAGCAGCTGGGCAAGGGCAGAGTGACAGCGGGGCTGGGGGGGACACACGACCCCCCCCAAAATCATTGGGGGGTGGAGCAGGGGGTCCTGGCCGGGCCCAAGGCCACAAAGAGGGGCTGTGGCTGCCAGCAGCTCAGGAGCTCTGTGGGCAGAGAAAAGAAGATGACACCAGGCTGGGGCCCACAGGGGGAGGGCGGGCACGACCCCTGGGATGCCCCCTCACCTTCTTGTGCAGGTAGAAGCTGAGCCCCAGCATCAGGAAGATGAAGCCCAACACAAAGCCCCCAATCCCTGTCATCATCTTGCTGCAGGTGGTGTTTGGCAGCATCTCTATGGAGTACACAGGGATCAGGACCACCAAAAATCCCTCACAGACATGCCAAGACCCTCCAAGCAGCCTGGCACCCCTCCAGCCCACCCAAGACCCAGTGAGACCTCTTTTCAAGCCCCATCTAAACTCCCTAGTACCACTCAATTCCCCTCCAGGACCCCAAACCCCCTCCCAGTTGACACCCATCCCCCAATGATCCCCCAAACCTTTTCCCAGTGCGTTCCCAGTCCCACCAGGACTCACCAGCATCACTGCCAGTAGATCAAAGCACACAACTTCCCTCCCAGCCCCACTTTTACATCCCCAGCCTACCTCCAGCCCCTCCAGCTCCAGCATGCTCCCTTCTAGTTCCACCCAGCTGCACTGGAACCCCAGTTCCCTCCCAGCAGCCCCCAAGAAACCCCTAATTACATCCCAGTCTTCCCAGCATCCTCCAAACCTCTTCTCTGCCCTCCCAGACCATCCAAACCCTTCTTCCAGTTGCTCCCTGGCTCCCTCAAACTCCCTCCCAATCACTCCCGGTTACTATCAACTCTCCTCCCAGTCCCCCTGGTCTCTCTCCCCCGTGACCCGATGCTGTGGGGGCCGGGCCATACCCCAGTGCCGGTTTAAGGGCTCCTCCAGGCTGATGTGCTCCACCTGGCAGCTGTAGCTGACCCCACGCTGGGGGGGGGTTTCCAGCAGCACCAGGAGCTGGTAGGTCCAGTCCCCGTTGGGGACCACATCAGTGGCCATCACATGTCCTGAGAGCTCCTGCTGGCCCTGGAACCACTTCACCTGGATCTTGGCAGGGTAGAAATCCATCACTGAACAGAGCAGGTGGCTGGTGCCAGGGTGGGAGCTCGAGGGCACCAGGGAGATGGACACACTGGGGGGCACTAGGAGAGAGTGGGGACACATTGGGATGAGATACTGGTAAAATAGGACACACAGGGAAGGGCTCGGCTTACATTGAGAGGGACGGGGGAAGGATTGGGAGGGCACTGAAAGAGATGAGACTGGATTGGGAGCCACTGTGAGAGCACTTGGGAGAGAGGATGGAAGTCTGGTAGTGGGCCGAGAAGGAGACCGAGTCCAGTGCAGAGCCTCGGCTCTGCGGATCTGCCTGGCAACTGATGAGTCATGAGAGCAACGTGCTCTGATTGGCTGGGGGGCTTCAGCGCCACTAAGGCCGAAATGGACACGCGGGGGCGGGGGGAGCAGTGAGAGAGACTGGGATGGACTGGGAGAGATAGGGAGAGCTCCGGTACACTGCGGGGAAGGCAAGAGGCCACGGGCATGGGCACAAGGAGAGGGGAGAGGTCTGGGGTGATTCCCAGGGAAGTTTTGCGAGGCTCCAGGGTCATTCCCAGGGCAGGGCCCGAAGAAACACGCTCTGCCCCAGGCTCACCTCTGCGCTCCACGAGGAACGGGGTGGACAACTCGTAGTTGTGCCGGCAGTGCCTGTCCACCGCATCCCGTCTGTACTCCATCCATTCCGGGTCACTGTTCCAGTACCTGGCAACCTTCTCCCCAAAGGAGGTGTCCCCCACAAACAGCCCCACATCGCTGTCGAAATGCAGGAACTGCTCCCGGTTGTAGATAAACCTCTTCACGAACCTCACGCGGTCGGTGCCGTTAATGAAGTGACACTCTGACTTAACCATCTCCAGGAGCACGCCTGTTATGTGCAGGACAAAGGTCAGGGGGTGCCCCGCCAGGAGCCCCCAGGACCCCACAGTAGCCAAGAGCTCAGAGGGCCACCCCGGATCCCCACTCTGCCCCCCTTGTGCCTCACGTGTCACCCCTTGTAGGACCCTTCTTCCCGCGGTCCCACTTCCTCTTTTCCATCCTTCTCTGTATTTTCCTCCCTCTTTCCCACAACTCCTCAGTCGCCAGCACCATCCTTCACATCGGTTTGAGGGTTCCACCTCACCCTTTTCCCTCCATGCACCGTCGTTACTATCCTCCCAGAACGTCCTTCCCATTCCTCCCGCTCACCCGAGAGCTCCGCGCCCGCAGCCGAGGAGGCTCCCAGCACCACCAGAGCCACCAGTAGGGCCCCAGCTACCGCCACACGCCCCATGGCCAGTGCCGGACAGGTTCTGACACCTNTGACTTCAACATGCTCCCAAGGGACCCTTCAGAGATATTTATGGATCATCATCCCTTTGGCCAGGACACCTTTCCAGCTTTCCCTGTTTACTCCCCAAAGATGCCACTATAGTCACTGCTGAGATTTTCAGTGCTCTCTCCCTGCCGACTCTTGAGAGCCGCCCTGATCTGTCACTCGTCTGTCTCCTGCTCACTCTCGGGTACCCAATCAATCCCCGGTGCCGCCGCCAGCTGAGGGAGCCGATCCCCCAAACTGGGTGAGGCACCTTCCTCTGCACTCACTGCCCACTGTCCCAGATGGTGGAAGGAATTGCAGAGGAGCCCCAAGATATGTGGAAAAATTGACATCTCCAGAGGTTTCTGTCCACAGAGAAAACAGAGGAGTCCTGTAAAAGTAATTTCATTCATAAAAACAGGGAGAGGCCATGGAACGTTTCTCGAAATGAAGTGGTGCTTGTGGTAGGAGAAGGTGGAATTATCCAGGAGGAGGAATAGTAGGAGGAAGAGGAGTGTGAGGAAGAGTAGGGACACAAGAGGAGGAGGAGAAACAGGAAGCACCACAAGGTTCCACCACTCCCTATATCTGCAGCCTCCACCCAGCCCCAGGAGCACTGCACCCCCTACATGCAGCAGGTAACTGGGAAGGAGGATCCATGATTTTCAACTGGGCTGAATCTTGGTGTTTCTGAGCTTTATTGGGCTAAATGTTGGGGCTTCAATTTTTTTGCAGGGGCTAAATCTATATTTTGGAGATATTTTGGCTGATGTTTGGGGAGTTTTTATCTGTGTCTTGACGTTTGGAGGGTTTTTGGGCTGAATGTTGGTGTTTTGGAGGTTCTTACAGACTCAGGGTGCCCAATGATTTGCTGAGATGGAGTTGGGCAAGGAGAAACCCCCAACCCATGGCACTTTCCTCTTCTTTTTTTCCCTAAACCATAAGTTTTCATTGCCAAGGAGTAGCCAGATGTAGAAGGAAAAGCCCCAGAGAACCAGCATGAGGAGGGGCTGCAAACCCAGCCCAGGGACCTGCAGGGAGGAAAGACACACCCCCACCCCCCCCATATACCAGAAAGGTGGCCAGAGATTCAGTCAGAGCTTGGAGCTGTTTGAGAAGCCTCATGGTAGGGAGAAGCTCCACAAGCGCTTGGAATGTGGAAAGGGCTTCAGAAAGAGCTCCTACCTGATCCAGTACCAGGTGATCCACATGGGGGATCAGCCCTATGAGTGTCCCCGGTGTGGGAAGAAATTTCAGACAAACTCCACTCCCCTCGAACATGAGCAGATTCACACAGAGGAGAGGCCCTTCCACTGCCCTGACTACAAGAAGGGCTTCAAGCAAAACTCCCACCTCACTGTCCACCAGCGCATCCTCACCATGGAGAGGTCCTACCAGTGTCCGGAGTGTGGGAAGAGCTTCTCAAACAGCTCTAACTTGACCCAACACCAGTGGAGGCACCACTAAAGGAAGCCCTGCGAGTGCCCAGAGTGTGAGAAGAGCTTCATGTGCTGCTCCAGCTCCATCCCCCATGGGAGGATCAGTGTTGGATGATCCCCAGTGACCCCCGTTGGGCAGAGCCCTGGTGATGCATGTTGGGAGGACACCTGGCTGGGATGCTTCACATCTTCCTATCTCCCTGTGGGCTCCTGGATGAATGGAGGGGCAGGAACATCCATCAGGACACAGACTGACATTGGAAATTCACTGGGGAGAGCGGATTTGTTAACTTTCAATCCCAAAAAATCTTTTGTGTTCAGTCCTATCTTCTGGTGGTATCAAGGAATACTGGATGATCTTGGAGGTCTTTTCCAACCTCAGGGATTCCACAGTTTTGGTATTCTATGATTCAAGGGCATCTTCCACAACCAGATGGTGATGGACTGGGGCGAAGACCAAGATTTTGGAGACAGTGGGGTGGAAACCTCTCCAAAAAAGGTTCTTCCCTCAGACCCAAGCATGTGGATCCTCAGCTGGCATGGACATGGAAATCCTTTTCTTATGGCCTTGATTTCCTTTTCATTTCTCTTCATTCCTTTAAAATATCCAGCTTTGGGGTAAAAATAGGCATTGAGCTGAGACGTGGGTGAGGACATGGTGGGACAGACATGGAGAGTGACATGGGGACACATGGACGTTGGGCATGGATGGAGATGTGGGTAACAATGACAGGGTTGAAAACACAGTGGGGACACAGCCCTGGGTGAGGACATGGTGGGACATGGCCAGTGACATGTGGGGACATGGCCATGGCCACTGCCATGGGGGGAACTGGCAGGGGCTGTGGGGGATGCTGGGTTTGAGGGAGTTGAGGGTTCCTGGCAGGGACTTGGGGCTTGCTGAGGGCTTTGGGGAGCCCAGGCCGAGCGGCTGCGGCTGCGCTGGGAGCCCCTGGCGGAGGAGGTTCTGGGGCAGCTGCTCAAGGACCCCCTGGCCTGGAGCCCCAGCTGGGCATTGGGCTCCTGGAAGGGAATGAATGCCCTTGTCCCTTGGAGGACAATCCCAGTGCCCCAAGGTGTTGGAGGTAGCTGAGAGGCCACAACAGGGTGGGGAAAGACAGACAGAGCTGTCTCACTCCAAAAAAGGGGTCATGTCCACACATAAACTGACCAGGAATTCCCCCAAAGCCATTTATAACCCCTGAGAACTGTCGGAAAACAGCAGAATCATCCTTAATATGGGCTCCCCACATCCTTCCCTGTGAGGCTGCACTCCCCCACTCCCAGTAACTCATCTCTCGGTGCCCCAAAAACCTCTGCAGTAACCAGATTGCCCCACTATCTTTTTCCCAACGTGTTGCTGTCTCATTGCAGATCCCATCCCAGCTATCCTACCTCTCCCAAACACAGCCCCGTGTTTGGCAGAGCAGAGCTACTGCTGGGGGCATCGGTGTGTGCAGGGGATCCTTTATCCCCATCGTGCAGCTCCAGGCTCCTGAGGGCAAACTCCTGGTTTCTAGGGCTGTCCCCCTCCCCACATTTGTTTGTTTGAATATCCAAGGCAGCAAGCCAGTGCCCTGTGGCAGCAGCCGGTGCTGGGACAGCCTTGGGAGCTGTGCTAATGCCTGGCAATGCTCAGGAGGGACAGATGGAAGAGGAGTTCATAAGGAGCATCCCACGCAGCCCTCGCTGCACACAGAAGGGCTATTTCATGCCTGGGACCGATTTCCCAGGGTTTCTGGGCTTTGCAGGACCGAGGTGGTGGCAGCGGGACCTGTGGGGGCCCGGACTGTGTGGGTGGCCAGAGCTGAAAAGTTTGCGGCAGCCCCAGCGGGTGCCCAGCGGTTGAGTGGAGCTGGTTGGGAACAACCCCAGAACCCTCCCTGGGGCCTGAGGGCTGAATGGAGCTGGT